GAGCACCGCAGCTACAGCGACCGCGGGGAGCCGGGCGCCGAGGACCGAGCGCGAGGGGACGGCCACACGGGTAGGCAGGGACCCAGCCAGGACCGGGGTCGAGGTTTTGGCGCGGTCGTCACAGCTGGTGAAGATATTGGGGACATCTTCCTTCTCTCCCAGACTTTGTGGCGCTGCTGACGGGGCCGAGGTCGCAGGCCGTGGCAAGGGCGCGAGTGATACTGCTGCGCTCTAGTCTGCGCTTCTCCATCTCCTACCGGCAGTGAGAACGGGCCAGGAGGGAGGAAGGGGCAGGAGGGAGGAAGGGCGGGCTGGGCGCCGGGGCGGGAGAGCTGGGCCAGGCTGGAGGGGCTGCTTCTGGCCCAGGCTCAGAGTCCGTGCTCCCCCACACTCTCCTTCCCAGGCTGGACCGTCCCACCCGAATCCGCTTCTCAGACTCCACTGGCAGCGTCCTGTTCGAACACCCTGCAGCTCCGACCCAAGATGGCTTGGTGAGATGATGCCATTTATGAGTGCTTATCTAGTCTGGACACTGTGCTGAGAGTGTGCTCTGCATGACCTCCTTTGGTCCTCACAACAGTCCAGTGGGAGGAAGACACTGACATCATATGCCCATTTTACAGATGAGGAAATTGAGACTCAGTAGCAGAATGTGATTTTCGCAAGGTCACACAGCTGTAAGTGGTGGAGCCAGGATTTGGACCCCTGGATTCCTTCTTCTTTTTTAAAAAATTTTTTTCATTGATTTTAGAGAGGAAGGGAGAGGGAGAGAGAGATAGAAACATCAATGATGAGAGAGAATCATTGATTGGCTGCCTCCTGCACACCCCCTACTGGGGATAGAGCCGGCAACCTGGATATGTGCCCTTGGCCAGAGTCAAACCTGGGACCCATCAGTCTGCAGGCCGACACTCTGTCCACTGAGCCAAACAGGCTAGGGGTGGATTCTTAAGCTTCCTAGGAGAGCATGGGGGCTCCTTCCCATATTCCTTCCTCATCACATAGGCCTCTTCGCTGGCCTATCCTGCATACTGTTTGAGTAGGGTCTTCTTGTCTCTCTGCCCAGGTGTGTGGGGTGTGGCGAGCAGTGCCTCGGTTGTCTCTGCGGCTCCTCAGGGCAGAACAGCTACATGTGGCACTTGTGACACCCACTCATCCTTCAGGGGCGGTCTGGGGGCCCCTCATCCGGCACCGGGCTCTGGCTGCAGGTGAGGGGAGCAACAGCCCCGGGCACAAAGTTCTGTCTTCTCTATACTGAGGAATGGAGTGGGCCGTGGAGGGGACTTTCTGATGGGCTCTCATGATCCTCCCTCTCCCAGAGACCTTCAGTGCCATCCTCACCCTGGAAGGCACCCCACAACAGGGCATAGGTGGCATCACCCTACTCACTCTCAGTGACACAGAGGACTCCTTGCATTTTTTGCTGCTCTTCCGTGGGCTGCTGGAATCCAGGAGTGGGGGTAAGTGGGATAGGGGAGGGCATGTGAGAAGGGCAGGGAGAGCGCCTGGCTCTCAGCGGTGTCCACATGTACCATCGTTTCAGGACCAGCCCAGGTTCCCTTGCGGCTCCAGATTCTACACCAGGGGCAGCTATTGCGAGAGCTCCAGGCCAATGCCTCAGCCCAGGTGAGCGAAAGTTTGGCTTTTGTTGCCACCTGCTTTGGCCTCTTGCTGCTCCCACCGATTATCCTGCTCTGTTCCTAGGACCCAGGCTTTGCTGAGGTGCTGCCTAACCTGACAGCCCAGGAGATGGACTGGCTGGTGCTGGGGAAGCTGCAGATAGCCCTGGAGAGGGCAGGTAGCCCAGGGCTGCGTATCAGTGGACACATTGCCGCCAGGCAGAGCTGCGATGGTGAGGCAGGGTGGAGCCTGGCACCCTGGGCACACGCCACTGAGAGGCATAGACAAGTGCCAGGGGAGGGCCAGGGTGGATATGGGAGGGATCCTGGGGGCTGGGGGTATGAATGGCCATGGGGCCAGCCTGCCTCCACTTGTCTTGCCCCTCTGCAGTCCTCCAAAGTGTCCTTTGTGGGGCCGATGCCCTGATCCCAGTTCAGACAGGTGCAGCTGGCTCAGCCAGCCTTACACTGCTAGGAAATGGCTCCCTAATCTACCAGGTAAGTCAGGGGCTGCAGGAGGTGGAAGGGTAGTAGATTGAGGCAGAGATTTGGCCTGCGGTTCAGGCTCCAGGCCTTCTCTGCCACTCCAGTTTGCTCTCCCCAACTCTGCCCACCAGGTGCAAGTGGTAGGTACAGGCAGCGAGGTGGTGGCCATGACGCTGGAGACCAAGCCTCAGCGGAGGGACCAGCGCACTGTCCTGTGCCACATGGCTGGACTCCAGTCGGGAGGACACACAGTGAGTGGTACAGGCAGAGCTGGGCCATAGGGCCCATGTACTACAATGTGGGGGTTGTGGGAAGCTAAGTCTGGTGAGCAGATAGGTTCAGCATCATTCACTCATTCACAGGCTCTCCCATTGATACATTGATTCACCGGACACATTTTTAGTGAGACTCAGGCCACAGAGTACAAAGAAAATCAGTTGTGGCCCCTGTCCTCAGCAAGCTCATGTGAAATGAGAGGAGTAAGACAGGGAGACCAGTGCAGGAGATCACATACTAACTGTGAGAGCAATGGCGGCCGCATGTTGGGCCTTTCTAGGTGCCGCGTACTAGACTGGTTGCCTTACTTATGCTATTGTTGGCCCTCGCAGTACCCATTTTAGAGATGACGAAGTGAAGGGTCAGAGGTTAACTCTTCAAGGTGATCACATACGTAGGAAGTGGCAGGGAAGGGACTTGAACTTGGGCCTGCAGGGTTCTTATTCAGTGTTAGTGGTGTGGGGAAGTGTGTATGGGTGTAGTGGGGGCACAAAACATGGAAAAGCTTCAGAATCTTAGGCTTGCGTGAAAGCTGAGGAGGGTTCATCTGGGGCCTGGCAGGCTCCAGCTGGGGCTCACCCTTCACTGTCCCCTAGGCCATGGGCGTCTGCCCTGGGCTGGGTGCCCGAGGGACTCATATGCTGCTGCAGAATGAGCTATTCCTGAATGTGGCCACCAAGGACTTCCCAGATGGAGAGCTGCGGGGGCATGTGGCTGCCCTGCCCTACAGTGGGCACAGCGCCCGCCATGACAGTGAGTGCCCATAGGTTTGCCTGCCCTTTGCTGCCCTCTAATCAGTGACTCAAGTGCATAAGGGATGGTGTCAGAGCGCTAGAGCCTGATGTGTCTTTCCCTGCCTGAGCTCTAGGCTTGCATCCAGAGATGTATAGGTGGGATGTAAAGGGTGGCCCTCCTGGGAGATCCTCCCTGTTGCGATGGTGCAGGGGTCTAAAACTTGCTGCTCCCCCAGCCCTGGGCTTCTGGGCAGTGTCTGCCAGCTCACGGAGTCTGTGCTGGGCAACATGGGAATGCTGGGGTTGAGTGGCTGCTCTAGGCCACCTTCTCATCTGTCACTTCTCCTCTGTCTGGATCCAGCACTGCCTGTGCCCCTGGCAGGAGCCCTGGTGTTGCCCCCTGTGCAGAGTCAGGCAGCAGGGCATGCCTGGCTCTCCCTGGATACCCATTGTCACCTGCACTATGAAGTGCTGCTGGCTGGGCTTGGTGGCTCAGAACAGGGCACTGTCACTGCCCACCTCCTTGGTCCACATGGGATGCCAGGGCCCCGGCGGCTGCTGAAGGGATTCTATGGCCCAGAGGTGAGGATGTGATTGGAAAATATCTGCTTTTTAGCTTAAAGGGGTGTGTGTGTGTGTGTGTGTGTGTGTGTGTGTATGTGTGTATAAGCAGAGAACAGGCTGCCTGGTATGGCAGAGCTGGCATGGGCTCAGGAGTCAGACAGACCGGGCTGTGGACCTGACCCAGCCTTTTATTATTCATCCTCTTTCCTGTGTCCTTCTCTGGTGGGATCCCTTGAATTGTATGTAATATCCTGGACCTTCAGGGGAGTAGGAGGGGTGGCCAGGCCCCCTGAAGTAGATGGGTGGTCAGGGACTTGTTGTCAGAGAGACTGGGTTCCTGAGCTCCATACCATTGCTATTGAGCTTTGCTATCCTGGAGACCTTATTTCATCTCCCTGGGTCTCAGTTTCCTCATCTGCAAATCGGGAACAGTAGACTCAGCCCTAGAGTGCCTTGTTCCCATCCCTTATCCTATCTACTCACAGGCCCAGGGCGTGGTGAAGGACCTGGAGCCTGAGCTGCTGCTGCACCTGGCACAGGGCACTGCCTCCCTGCTGATCTCCACCAAGGGGAGCCCCCAAGGGGAGCTTCGAGGGCAGGTAGGCAGCAGTGGGGATGGGTCAGAGTTGGGCTGGCACCGTGTGTCTCTGTGCCACTTGCTCTCCCCAGCCCTGGGGGGTGGAAGTATCACACTTGCTTACTGCTTGGGAGGATGAAGCCATGCAAGGCACATAAATAACAAGGCCGGCAATAACAAATAACCTGTGCCTGGCAGCGAGAATGGTTGCTGGGATGAAGAGCATCCTTTTGGGGCACGGGGCACTCAGGGGATGAGGTGTTTCTGCTTGGCGGGCTGGCTGCTGCTGGTGGAGACGCAAGGGGGAGCCCGGGTGCTGCCTCAGCTCACCTCTCCTCCCAGGTGCACATCGCCAACCAATGCGAGGTAGGCGGCCTGCGCCTGGCGGAGGCAGGGGCGGAGGAGGCCCGGAAGCCTGGGGCTCCCGAGGCAGTGGGCGCAGCTGCACTGCCCATGCTGCCCGCTGTGCTCGGCCCTGATGCCCCAGCGCCAGTCAAACCAGGCAGCCCCTGGAGAGCCCGAGACCCCAACACCTGCTTCTTCGAGGGACAGCAGCGCCCCCATGGGGCTCGCTGGGCACCTAACTACGACCCGCTCTGCTCACTCTGCACCTGCCAGGTAGGAGGGGTACTGGGGCCTGGGTTCTGGGGCAAGGGCTCCAGTCAACCTCCCACCTCTCCCTGCAGAGGCGGACAGTGATTTGTGACCCTGTGGTGTGCCCGCTGCTCAGCTGCCCGAGTCCAGTGCAGGTGCCGGACCAGTGCTGCCCTGTGTGCCCCGGTGAGTGCCATGCAGGGGCGGAGACAGTCATGGGGGCTCCGCCAACGGCGGATGAGGCCTCTAGGAAGGGAAGGAGGCTCTCACCCTCTGCCTTCACTATTTTTTGGCTCCACAGAGAAACAAGATGTCAGAGACCTGCCAGGGCTGCCGAGGAGCAGGGACCCCGGAGAGGGTGAGCTGGCAGTGTATGAGCCAGGGTGGGGAACCAAGAGGCGCTGTTGGGTGGGAGCAGGAGGGGGACGGTGGGGTGAGAGTATACATGGGTGGGTGAAGGCTCAGGGACACAGATTTCAGTGACACCTGATAGGCTTCATCAGAGTGACTGGCCTGAGAGTGGGCCCTGGGGTTAGAGGGTGTGGGGTTGGCCTGAGCCTGAAGCCTTGGTTTTTGGATCCAGCCAATGAGCTCAGTACTAATGGCAGCTGGCCACTGTGTGCCACCAGGCTGTTATTTTGATGGTGACCGGAGCTGGCGGGCAGCGGGTACCCGGTGGCATCCTGTCGTTCCCCCTTTTGGCTTAATTAAGTGTGCCGTCTGCACCTGCAAGGTATGGCTGCCCAGTCTTCTCCAGTGCTACACCCCGTGGGGCTGCAGAGATGGGAAGGGGCCTCCAGGAGAGGAAAAGCCCAGCCTTGGTGAGGGGGGCTCAAGGTTCAAAATAATATGAGAAAGTCCTTTGGGCTTTGAGAGCTGGCTTCCTGCAGGAGAAGGGCAAGGGTGACCTGTGTGAATTCTGGCTCTGCCAGCTGACTAGCTCCATATCACCCGGGCACTTCCTGTGCCCCCCTGAGCTGCACTTTCCTCTTCCGTGAGCGGATGTGCTAGCACCTACCTGGCAGGGCTACAATGAGGATTTAGTTCAGGAATATAAAGCACCAGCCCAGGGCCTGAGTAAAAGGCCGTGGATATATTACTCGAGGTATGCGGAAGGAGAGGGAGGAAGCAGGAGTGCTCCCCCTCCTTCCTAACACCCCTCACACAATGGATCCCTACAGGGGGACACGGGAGAGGTGCACTGTGAGAAGGTGCAGTGTCCCCGGCTGGCCTGTGCCCAGCCTGTCCGCGCCAACCCCACTGACTGCTGCAAACAGTGTCCAGGTGAGGGGGGTGGGCACTGAGGCCTCTTGGGGCAGATAGGGCCCTTCACACCTTTTCCTGGGTGAGGGGATGCACAGTGAGGGTGGATGGAAGGGACTTCTCAGCTAATTCAGCATCTCCTGAGCACCACTCTGTGCCTAGTCTGGAGCCAGGGTTCTAAACACAGTGGAAAGGTGTGCATGTATTAGTGGGCTATGATGGGTTCTAGTTCCTGCCCCATCTATCCATTCATCCATCCAACCAACCAACCAACCAACCAACCATCCACCCACCCATCCATCCAGATTTATCACCTATTAAGGGCCAGAAACTGCTAGGTGCTGGAGATTCAAAGACAAATAAAACCTGGGTGGCCCTCATAGCACTCAGATCTACTGACTTCCTCCTCTTCATCTCCTTCTCTCCCTTCCAATAGTGGGGTCAGGAACCCACCTACAACTGGGGGACCCCATGCAGGCCGATGGGCCCCGGGGCTGCCGGTTTGCAGGGCAGTGGTTTCCGGAGAGCCAGAGCTGGCACCCCTCAGTGCCCCCCTTTGGGGAGATGAGCTGCATCACCTGCAGGTGTGGGGTAAGAGAGGCATGGGGGGCTTGTGTGAGGTGGGCATTGGAGGCCTCACCTGGACTAGGGGGACCTTCCCAGGGAGGGCAGGCTCCCGGGGGCAGCCCTCCCAGAAGAGGCTGAAGGCTGTTGTGCCCCCGTACCTCTGGGGACCCTCAGGATCTGCTCTGTCCTGCCTCAGGCAGGGGTGCCCCACTGTGAGCGAGATGACTGTTCGGTGCCACTGTCCTGCGGCTCAGGGAAGGAGAGTCGATGCTGCTCCCACTGCACGTCCCGCCGGTGTAAGTGAGGGGACCCAGGGGCAGCAGCCCTGGGCTGACCGTGGGATGCTGAGGAGGGAAGGAGTACCCGCTGTGTTCCAGGGACAGTGCCCTCTGCTTCACAGTTGCCACTCCATTCTGCCCTCACAGCTGACCTGGTGGGCTTGTTATTAGTAGTCGTTTACTTATTTTTTTAAATATGTTTTTATTGATTTTTAGAAAGAGCAGAAGAGAGAGAGAGAAACATCAATGAGAATCATTGATTGGCTGCCTCCTGCATGCCCCACACTGGGGATCAAGCCCACAACCAGGGCACATGTTCCAACCGGGAATCGAACCAGGACCTCCTGGTTCATAGGTCGATGCTCAACCATGAGCCACGCTGGCTGGGCATAGTCCTTTCTTTACAAATGAGATTTCTGAAGCTCGAGGAATTAGGCTACCAGGTTAAGGTTACGCAGCTGTTCTGTGCTCACTTGCTCAGAAAATACTGACCTTTCTGGGACCAGAACAGGGATACTTTGCTGGGCTCTCTGTGCCTCCTCCAAAGTTCGCTCCCTTCTGTCCTCAGCAGCCCCGGAGACCAGGACAGCGCCAGAGCTGAAGCAAGAAGCCCAGGGCTCCTAGGGAGCAGCGGGAAGGCCCATGACCAAGAGGACGGGGCCTGGGCTGGGAGAAGGAGTGGCGCCGAGGACCCTGCATCCTCCTGCGGGAAACCCAGTGCCTTTGGCTCCTCTTTTCCACCTCTTCTCCCTCCCCGACTACCTCTGGGACCACAACTCCACAAGGGGGAGGGCTGTCAGGGCAGACCCAGGCCATGTCCACTCCAACTCCTGCCCTGTCACCCTCTGGCCTCTGCCTTGGAAGCCCAACCCCTTTCCTTCTGTACATAATGTCACTGGCTTGTTGGGATTTTTAATTTATCCTCACTCAGCACCAAGGGTCCCCCCACCACTTCACTCCTGCTGCCCCTGAGCTGAGCAGAGTCATTATTGAAGATTTTTGTATTTATTAAAACATCTTTTTCAATCTTTGAGCTAAAGGTCCTTCTTTATGGCCGGGGACCCCATGGACAAAGGGCTGAGAGTAGGAGGGTGGAGAGGTGAACTCTGGCTCCAGGAGCTTTGCTCGGACCCTTGGGGAGCGGGATGAGACCTGAGGCGAAGCAGTCGGCATAGCAGCTGGCTGGCAGGCCTGATTCCACAGAGGAGCTTGGGCCTGTCTTTGAGGTGGACTAGAGCCTCAAGAACAAAGGCACTCTGAAGCAGAGCTTAGGTGCAAGTTTGGTTTCCACTGGTCTACCGTGGCTGGCATTTTTGCTGACTCCATGTTTGAAGTTGCTCCAAAGAGAGAAAAGCATAACCAGCCTCTATTTTCTTTATCTAAAATGAGGCAAACGCTTCCGGTTCATCTTCTTTCCTGGAAACTAAGTGCATTCTGGACCAGTTCCGGGGAAATTCTGGATCAGAGTGGATTGGAATCAGCCCAGTCCAGTTCTTGGCTGAGCTCATCTAAGTGATGCACGGAATAAGGCCCCTTGTTCCTTTCTCCCCTTTCCTGCCACCAGCACCTGGGCACTCCCGCAGATCGCACAGGCTTGTGGGAAATAGGAGCATCAGGACGGAGAGCTGTCAAATACACGCACCTGCAGGCTTGTCTTTTGTATAAACAATGTGGGATGAAACGAGCCTGGAATTTTATGACCTAGTGGGGTAGTAGGAAGGGGAAACCAGCGCCTTCTTATTTAGGGACAGGCGTGGTGTGTTGTGCTTGAGAAGTTATGGTCTTAGCCCATTGAAGCATCAAGTTCCAGTTCTGCTATTAACTCGCTGAGTGATTTAACCTCCGCGAGTCCCTATTTCCTTTCTGTAAAACTGAGATCTCCCTCACAGGATCCAGTCAGAGCTTGTGAATCACACAGCTCAGTGCTTGGCATACATTCATTGCAAAGACACTCGAGCTGAGATAGGGTTCCTGGAGCTGGTTTGAAATAAAAGGCAGGGAGAGATCTGGGGAGGAGAGTGGCGATGGGTTTCAACTTTGGTGTGCTAGTCTGCCGGGTGCTCAGGTGGAATGGGAGGCCAGGCTGGGGATGAGAAGATGATCAGGATGGAGAGACTGGCCTTGGCCCAGAGCCCTGGCTGTCAGTAGGGGTATTAGAGGGTCAGATAGGGAAGAAAAAGCAGCAGGATTGGCATGGGGCTAGATGCAGGGAACCAAGTACAGCGCCAGGTGTGGTGCGATGGAGGATTTAGCCCAGAAACCGATGAGGGAGTTTGGTGGGAAGAAGGGTTGAGAAAGGAAATTTTGATCCCTAGATTTAACATGAGTTTGCTACTGACACTCACAAGACAAGAGGAAGAGTGCGCATCCACGGGGTGGCTCTGTGGGCTCCGCTCCGAGAGGCAGGGCCTAGCTCCTGGATCCTGCCCCTAGGCACCCAGCCAGCCTTCAGAGCAGCATCCGTGGATGTCAGTTGAGCAAAGGAATGAACAGCTAATGGATCCAGGCAGACCATTGTTCTTAGACCACAGTCCTTGAAACACCTTTCCCCTCAGGGGCCTGCATTCTAACCAGAGCTGACCTGTCCCCAGATCCTGGGGACCTGGTACAGTGACTGCAGGGGTCCAGCCCTGGGCCAATGGGAACCACACGTCAGACAACTTGGAAGCCCTGATTTGCAGAGACCGCGAGAGGGCACCCAACCATTCACGTTTAGGCAACTGCATCACCTCAGAGAGTCCTTTGCCTTCCTAAAAAACCAAAAGCAACCCTAAAACCGTAACAAAACCCAAGGAGAGCCCATCCTGGGCAGAGGATTTTAATGTCTCAGATCAGGTGCTGGTAAGATTTAAAACTGGGTCAGTCAAGCCTTCTATGTGATAGAGGGTTGGACTGGGCCTCTGAGCTTCTCCTGGGAAAGAGATGGAAGGTAATACACAGGGGCGCTGGCTGCCAGAGGAGAGAGGGGTGGTTCTGATACACCCGTTTTTTGAGGTGTCCTTCACATGCAGTCCTCCACTTTGTGCGTTCTGCGGTAACACCCCTGTGCCATCTTTTATTTGCTACATCCAAATTTTGGTGTCTGGTGAGAGACAGCCATGTGGGCTGTGACATGGTGGCGCTGCTGGCAGCTGGCATTGGGCCCGTCACCTAGAGCAGAGTCTGTGTAGGTCTGTGGGTAGTTTATGGCAATGAGTGGTAATTTTCAAACTCTGCCTCAGACCCTCAGACACGTGAAAGGGCCTCCGGGCAGCAGGTGAATAGGGGCTGTGGAGAGTGGAACAGCCCAGGTGCTTGTTGGGAGTGGTGAGTCCAAGGCCCCCCACTCAGCTTCCATGTTGGCTGCTGCACTTCTCAGAAAGAAGAGTCAGTGGCTTTCTAAAAAGTTTCAGACAACGGTTTTATTGCATTTCACCTTTAGTCTTTATGAAAACAATGGGAAGTAGGCACACACAAGTGTGACACTTTTTGTTGTTGTTAATCCTCACCCGAGCATATTTTTCCATTTCAGAGAGAGTAGAAGGTAGGGGGAGACAGAGAGAGAAACATCAATGTGAGAGACACACTTGAACCAGATTGAACCAGATTGAACAGGCTGACGCTCTATCCACTGAGCCAAACCGGCCAGGGCAAAAGTGTGACCCTTCTGACACAGTGACAGTGACAGAAGGGGGTGTCTCATAAAGCAATGGGATTAGGACCGGGAGGGCATTCAGCAGGCATGCTGGAAGGGACACATTTTCGCTCATCAGATTTTCGGCCAGTCAGAGATGAAATGTGAAGGAAAAAACAGAATATGTATGGAACACTGGAAATATAGTGTTAAGGATGACAAAAGGGAGGGAATTTTTGTGACTCTTAATGATTATAAAGTTCTGAGAAGGAAGCCACCCCTTTAACATTGCGCGGCTCTAATGTATGTTTTCATGGATCAAGGGGGCCGCCAGGATTACTTTCGCTCACCATAAAAGTAAATCATTGCGAACAATTATAGTAACACACAAATGTGTGGGGGAGAAAGAAAAATTCACCTGTTAGAAAGATAGGATCCCAACCCCTGCATAATCGCTATTAATAACTCACTGAGCATTTTTCTGAGTTTTATTTGCCCAGCCCCAGCCCTGCCCCCACTCTGGGCCCTGCCCCTGCAGCACCTCTGTCCCCACTTGTGGAGTGGCTGTGATGCCTGTCCTTGCCCCAGTTGAGGGTATTCGTGTGATAACCTCTGGAGCTGGAGCACATGTAAGTCTGCACAAATAAGGAAAGCAGGAGATTGCATTTCAGGGAAATCTGACCCTTTGTATTTAAATTGGCAGGGGAGGCAAAACCCCAGAAATTTGGAAAAAATTTTCACCAACTCAGAGAAGTTGGCAGATTGGTTGGTATTCAGTGATTTGATTTTCAGGGCAGTGACTAGAGTCCACCAGCTCCTCAGCAGAGGGGTGTTGGGTAGGCCTCGAGGTTGTCTGGTCCTCATGTGGGCAGCAGAGCTTGGCTTTTGGGACTGTAGGTTGAAAATCTCACTGAATGCCACCTAAAGAAGCATCACGCAGAAAACACAAATGGGGTCCTGAAACCGCTCAGGAAAGGGTTCATGCGAAAGAAGGGGGGCAAGGAAAGGTGATAGGGGTGAGTACCTGCCCTGGAAAGGCTCTAGATCAGCGGTTCTCAACCTGTGGGTCGCGACCCCTTTGGGGGTCGAATGACCCTTTCACAGAGGTCGCTTAAGACCATCGGAAAACACATATATAATTACATATTGTTTTTGTGATTAATCACTATGCTTTAATTATGTTCAATTTGTAACCATGAAAATACATCCTGCATATCAGGTATTTACATTACGATTCATAACAGTAGCAAAATTACAGTTATGAAGTAGCAACAAAAATAATTTTATGGTTGGGGGTCACCACAACATGAGGAACTGTATTAAAGGGTCGCGGCATTAGGAAGGTTGAGAACCACTGCTCTAGATGCTGGAGGACAAAAGATGCCTCATTCTCCCCACCCCCACCCCTTTTCCGCAGCTCCTGCAGCTGGAACCAGATCAGCCCCAGGTGTCTTCCCAGGGGAGCAGGGAGCCCACCTGGGGAGTGGCCCAGCACTGCTCCTTCTGAGCCCTCTCCCCCCAGGTCCCAGGAGGTCTACATCAGATTTACTTTCAGGACTCATCTCCCTCTCCCCTTGACACAAACATTACTGCACCTACTGGCTGATGCCAGAAATTCCTTTAGAAGAGTTTTTTCCTTCCACAACCGGAAGATGGGAGTTTTAAAATGCAAACAACTGGTTAAGATATTAGGTCATCTGCTAAAGGATAACCTATCAGTCAACAAATGCAAATGACTATTGTCAGATTCTCTTCCTTTTGACGAGAGGGGAGTTAGAAAAAAGGTAGAGGCTGGGCGACAGAAGGGTGCGGAGGTAGGGAAATGGGACTGCACTGACAGCCGTGCAGGCAGGGACATTGACAAGGGCCGGGCTGTTACCTTCCAGACCTCCACGAGGAATAGCTGTGAGAGATGGAATTTCTGTCCTGCACATCTGTGCACTCTCCCAGCTTAGCGGGAACTCGGCCACTCAGACATATGATTCACATCAATGATGTTTTTCCTGACTTTCAGAGTTTTTTTTTTTTTTTTAAGAAAGGCTGACGTTATTATGAAGGAACTTTTTTCTCATAGGTTTCAACTGAGGTATCACTTAGGTTCCAAATGAGGTGCCACTGGGCATGGCACCGGGGAAGACCTTCAGACGTAGTTTTTTAAAAATATATGTATTTTTGTTGATTTTAGAGAGGAAGGGAGAGGGAGAGAGAGAGGTAGAAACACCAATGATGAGAGAGAATCACTGTTCGGTTGCCTCCTGTAAGTCCCACACTGGGAACTGAGCCAGCAACCTGGGCATGTGCCTTGACCAGGAATCAAACCGTGACCTTCTGGTTCACAGGTGGATACTCAACCACTGAGCCACGCCTGGGCCAGAGGTAGTTTTTAATT